TACACGGTTGTATGTCATCCCGAGCACCTATTGAGCGCAGAAAACGTTTGGCCGACTTAGCATAGATTTTGTATATTACCTTTTGAATATTATTTCAACAAACAACTTAGGGATGCATATTGATAAGAGTGTGATGAGAGCTGAAAGAGCTGCAAGCCAAAAAAGTAGACAAGGTTTACATCGATGTTTACGTCCCGAATCGAGTTCATTAGAAGAAAATGAACTGATGTTGGAATGTTGGATGTGTTAAGTCAGTTAGCAGAAAGTCATACGTCTTCGTTCAACAATCAGCCATGATTTACCAAGTATTTTCACACAAAGTGTCCAGTGACATATATATTTTTGATAAAAGCGCTAACAATTCTTTGCAATGCCTTCGTCAGGCATGTTTCGCCATTCATCGTATTTTGTAACACATTTATTGATTTACCATTGTAAACAGAACGCACTTTTCTTCCAGCTCACACCTTATCACTTAATGGTTGAATGGTTTGCTTCTTTTCGCCAGTGGGCGTTTTAAACATTGTTGTTATCATTCGATGTTCCAGTCAGTTGTATTAGACTCCATCTCTTTGAATATTTAATACACTACGGGATTCTAACTTCTCAACAGTCAGCTGGATTCTTGGGGATGATATGTTGCACAGTGGGATTGAGTTACTTCATTCTTTCTCTCGATATGAAATGTGTAACGCGAGTGTTTTATACTCCATTTCTCTTCAATTCAATCTTGTCATTGAAAGATGGGAGTGTGTGTGATTTGTGTGTGAACTGATGAAAGCACTCATATGCCAACATGCACTTCACTCACAGAAATTATCAAGGACATACAACTGTCGGGAGACGAACTCTGCAGTTGTGGTTTTAGAAGCATCTAGAAATGTAGAAGACATCCTGGAATTGTATTGAATCAGGAATGGGGAGAGAATCGAAATCACTTATAAGTGTGTCGATTAAGTATGACAACAGCCACTATACTACTCGTCCAACACTTGGTTGTGTCCATTTGAATGATGATTAATGGTGTAGTATTCACAGTAGTGGTAATAACAGCAATAATGTCAACTGGTTCATATAAGTTTGTAGCATTCACATGATTAAGATGTTCAAGCAGCCACAATCACATCCCGTATAATAATGTAATAATGTAATACATTCAGTTAACGAAGATCAGATTTGTTCTGATTTGTGAGATATTAATGGTTGGAATGAAGTACCGAGTTGCTCAGACATTCGATAGCTATTAGTGTTCTGCAGCCTTTCCCACATAGTTTACTACCACTATGTATTTTGTCATGTCTACAGTTCAAATCACATGGGATAATGACGTTTATACTGATGATAATTTACTCAAACGAAAATCACTTCTGCCGCACTATTTCGACTATGAATTGCTTATTCACTGTCTTAACATGATGACGTGTAATGTAGTTAGTTAACTGTGGGATGTACAACAATCTAGGTGATATACTAAACGAGGATAATATGTAAGTATTATACATACCCACACATCCATGAAAACCAAGACTTCTCTGTCATCCATTCTTGAAGTTTCGAACTTGAAAGCGTTTCATTAACAACACCTAACGTACACAAGTAACACGAGAGCGCAGATTTCCCACACAATTGTAATCTGTGTTGATACGATGATGAATGTCTTTGAAAAGTGAAGAGTGCAATGAATCCACATGGAGAAATGCATCAAATGCATCCTTCCAAATGAATTCCTTGCTCCTCTGTTCAACGGAAAACTGATTGCCAACAGACTTGATTAATTCGGTTATACACAATATCAATGTGAAACATACAAACTTCTGTATTACTGTGTAGATTCACTTAATCTTTAGTTAAAGAATGTAGATCTGTTGGAGTATATAGGAGGATATTGGCGATTTTCAAATTAGATGGATAATATTTTCAAATGGTTAAGAGTAAATTGAAAGGAAGAAAAAAGAAGAGAATTCGAGCTCGCCTCATTCAAGGAATGTTGATTTAGTTAAGAGAGTGATCAGTCCCTATGAATTATGTTTTCTAACAATGGACTATTCTAGAAATTGAAAGTCACAATTAACGATCTCACGAAACGACTGATTACGAAAATCATTTTGGTTTATTTATCAAATAGGATGATAGCGTTGATTTCACTACTGACGTAGAAGTGTGTATATGATAGCATAGCCTCTAAACACATTGGGAACAGCTAAACTTTCCTTGTCTTTATCTTTCAGCTTCCATGTAAAGTAGGACATCATGAACTGGTACACATTACAAAATTAATTATTGGGAATATTTGTGTTAACCCCGAAGACCAGTTCTGTGAAATCATCCTACACTCCAGAGAATTCACTCACATGCCGACCGTATTGATTAGAAGCTTACCGTGTTCAAATGGCTCTTCATATTTATACCAACCTCACTTGAAATGACTTCACTACCTAGTTGACCCACGTCAACCAGTCCTTCCCTCAGTAACGAGATAGATAGTCTGTCAGACAGCGAAGTCAACCACTGCCACATGTATATTCACATCTACATTTGAATGAATTAGGAATGCACATACTTCGTTAGCTACCATCACCTGTGCAAACAGCTCCTACGTGACTTTAGGAGTTGATTGGTTAGTTAGTCGACATTTCATGTAATATCTGATATTGTAATAGAATCCTTCGACTGATGGTGTCAAATTCCTACGTTAGGTGACAAATGAAGGCAAGTGCTGAGTGACGAATGGTTAGAATGTATGCATCACAGAGCTAATTTCAGGCATGAAGATATATTCAAACACATGCTTCAGAGGTTTGGAACCTGTGTGATTTTCTGAGGACGCCAGTTAGCCAGCCAGTCGATATCTTGTCTGGATAAAAGCAAAAATAAGAATGGGTAAACGGAATGTCCGTACAATGTGCGAGACTAGGGAGGCTGTCCTGGTAGTCGATGAAATGAGGACATATCTTCAGTAGTGTTGAAAATCTGGGAGAGCCGATGGAATGGATGTAGACTGTCAAAGTTGTCGACTGCTAAGTCAGTAATCTACTCCGGTCATCCAGACGATAATCACAAGCACAGTGAGGGATTGGCTACTACGCTGGTGAGAGCTAGCCGCTATCCAAATTGGTAGACAGTAATTTACGTCAACGTTTACGTCCCCAATATTGGTCGTAGGAAAAATAAGGACAAAGACTGATTCAACAACCAACCACACAAGATTTTGCGTGGGGGTATACAATTAACGTATAGATAACGTAACATTGAAGAAACAACCGCAAAGAAATGAAAGATTAGTTTTCAGCGGTAAACCTCTAATCAGAAGACAGTGTTTGTTTGCTTAAAATAATCTATAATAATATACATGGAAATCCATAAACATTTGTTGATTTCCTGAATAAAGGACTGTTGCCTGTCCCTTGTCTTCTGTTGTTACACTACTACTTCTACGAAACGACCATTTTATTCTTTCCATCTTTAGTATGCTGTTGTCACTATTTCTATTCATTTTATTTTCACTTCGATATTATTAATATTACTATTCTTTATTGACATGATTATCAGTGAAAATGTCTTTCTATTTATTCCCACCTTACTGTGCAATAGAAAGCGGAAATTAGATGCTTGATTGTGCCGAATACTGAGACTTCTAAGTTGTATCGAATTCGCTGTTTCGGATAAAGTAAGTATTACTATTTCTATTATTATTATTATTATTAATATCAATAATAAAACGGGAGTGACATAAAGAGAAAGTGGAGCCATTAAACCATAAGAAGATAACCACTACAGACTAGATGGAAGGCTGGTACGTTAAGGGAAGTAAATCCCAATGGAAATCAGAGTAAGAAGATGAGGCACAAGCTTTCAAGCGCATACTACTTACTAGTAGAAGGTAGTATAAAGTTTAACTAAGATTAAAAATTATCAACGGATTCCTCACTGATTTGTTCCTATGAATGTCACACACAGTGAAACGGCATTATGTACTGCATGAGGTCTTGATCACAGTTTATCGCTCACAGTCATACTACTTAATATGAATACTACACAATCAGATACCTGAACGGTCGTCCTACAGTTTTACACAGATACCAAAAGCAGACTGGTAGTAAATGAAATACGAACTACTTGTTATCTGAGTCCTATTTATTCCATCTCAAGTAGGTCTGGGCTGAAAAAGTCGTTTTCAGTGGAAATCGTTTATGTTTTGATTTCTATGCTATAATGTTACAAGCAGTCTTTAAGAAGCCAGTCCAGCCAGTCACTAGAACTGCCATTCCACTCAACATTAGCTGAGAGAATATTGCCCTAGTTTGTATTGAGGATCCTGAATACAATGCAAACTTAGCAGATATAATCTTCACAATTATACTCCTATTTCAAATATGTCAGCTAGAAATGGAGGAATATTCTGAGCTGAATTTGTGAACAGAAGTCGTCTCTTAGTCGCTTTGATTGTCTCCTCCAAACATACGGACACGAAAACAGGCAATTGGCAAATTTTACTATATTCATGACTAAGATCAGTGTGATGTGATGCATTCAGCACAAAGATGGAGCATCAGATGGCAGATTTCCACAATGTAGGATAAGATTGGAGTGCTTAGAAATCTCACAACATAGCCGACGCTTTCACAACCCCAGTTAACTAATAGTTATATAATGATGAAATCTTAAGTCACGGTACCTAAAGTGTCTTGTTCCTATCATCGATTTTGAAATGTCTATAATTCTATGAACTTGAAGTCCCTAGTTCTCGGAAGTGATGAATTTCCATTTCGAATGAACCAACTGCTCACTACTTGATGAGTTTCAATAATTGTCTATTTTTTACTAGCTCATGCGTGACAAATCTATCCGCATGTCATAGAGTGCTATTGTGAGTCTCAGTGAACTGAGCTATTTAACTTATATGGTTTGTGTTATCCAATAGTGTGATGAGAATCTACTTCTTACTTCTCCTCCTCCTCCAATAGTCTTGTGAATAGTATATTTCGAATTCAATTGACTCCATTGAAAGTTGTTTTCATGACTGTCTATTCACTATCAATGTTCATCCATCGAATTCAACGCCTTTGCTCAAATATATTTACCTCGATTGCCTTCCATTCACATTGAATTGTATGAAAACAAATTTCACATTTTCAGTCCAATTTCTTCTACGGTCAAAATAATTTTCATGATGAGGCGTTTATCAAGACGGAGTAAGTTTTCTATTTTAAATCTAAATATCATAATACACTTGAGAATACATTCTGCTGCCAGCTTTATTCTAGATTTCTTTTAATGGCTGCATCAGACCATTCATTATAATGGCATACTCTGGGTGAATTCATTGCACGTTTCTAGTTTTGTGTCTATGCGTCTATGCCTCATTCAACACTGATTTGGGACTTACACTTAGCTGGTACCCTTGGTACAACCCATAATGAATTCAATGATATAATGAATTGTACGTTACATATAAGTTTGTAAGGGTTATTACGACAGTTGAGCGAATCACTGATCTGTCATCTGACATCTTAGGCTAATCGTTGCTTAATCAACCACTTTATAAACCGATCATACTAAATTGAGTGACAGATTGTCAACTGTGTCAGATTCAAAAATTCTAGTGCAAAAGCATTACCCACGTACTTATCGAAGTAGTATTGGAATGTGATAGCTCAGTAACATTAGCGAATGACGGTTTTATGTGGGTTTTACGTCACAAATCAATGCGATTCCGTGTGCTACTGCGAAATAGAGACTGCTCTGAAATGTTGATAGACAGATAGATTTATCGCCTTGCTCGTCAATAGTGAACTGATTGATGTCAGTCTGTGAAACGATCAGACCGAGGATTTCATACTTTTCATGACAGTTTGACAGTGTGCACGTAATGAACCAATTCCCCATCGAAGCAGCATATCATCTAGCCTACAGTCGCATGAAATCTGCACACCAACCTCTCCTACCTTGATTGAAGTACTAAATCGATGTTGCAGAAGGTGTCCACTATCAAAACTGAGTGGAAATGCACGGAATCTAGTGTAAAACCTGTGTAGATTAACAGAGGGAAAGCCAGCTTATGGAAATCTGAGTCTGCTCCACGAGGTCTTTTAGATGGCGGAGAATCACGGTTCGTCAGAAATACGAAATTCTCGTAATTATAATATGTCTAACAGAGTTTAGTTGGGAATCGGTCGATTGGGGATCAGTAATAGAAAACTTGAGAAAACTAAACGACTTTCTGAAACAGACGTGTTATTCACATCTTCACGTTTCGAACAGACTGTGTATGATAGACTAATACATATTGTGTTATTCACCACTCGGGACAGTGTCAGAAGGAACTGAGAGGTATGTCAACGTTTAGAAGTTCCCATCATACGAGGCATTCTTCAAACTATCTCGTCAAGTGAAGCAATAAGTTAAGTAATACTGCAAATAAGTGTATGTTTCGAAACAAGTAGTGCACTCAATTTCACAGTCAGATGTGACAAATGAAACAAACACAGCGCTGTTCGTTGTAATCAATTATTCCGTCACAGCGTCAATCATGACGTCACAATTTACCAAGTATTCCACTATTAGAAAACATAAATCATGAAAGACTGCAATTTCCCTTCCAAGCCTATTGCAAACATGTGACTAGTACAACTCTCCTTTAACGAAGCGAACGTCAATTGTCCCCGCCTTCCCCATTTTATCTTCTTTTATTCATTATGAATCGCTTCAGTGCAAATCTCAAACTATACAACTTTCGAATTCATTTATACAGGTAAACTACCGCCAGTTGAAAATTCTCTGAATTCTCAAAATAGCAAGAAGGTATGTTGCACAGTGCTATTATTCATGACCGAACTAATCAAGACTGTTTCCAATAAGTTGTCCACTGAAAGAGGGAGAAAAGAATTTATTCTGAAGGTATTTGATGCATTTTGAAGCAGAAGTATTTTTTGTTTTCCTTTTTGAAAGACTTCCATTGTATTTATCATGCAGTTTCTAATTCTATGGGCAATATCTGCCATCGTGATACTTCTGTAAGTTATACGTTTTCGACTAACGTTGTTTACGAAATGCTTTCAAGTGAAAACCTCAAGGATTGGCTGAAGGCGTCTTCTTGGTTTTCCTGGCTTTGTGGGTACGTGTGATATTTACATTTTATCCCCTTCTAATAAATATATTATCCGACTTATTGTGAGTACAGCAGTAAGATCCACTGTCAACAATATTATCATGACCAAGATAGTGAACAGAATCTTAACAAACACTAATTTGAGGTGGATGAAGTTGACATTTAGGCGACTGATGCTCAACGACACAACCATCACCTCGCCAGGCTTCAGCTCTAAGCATAATGAAATTTGATTTGATAGTAATCGACACACTTTTGTCGACACTATTTCAGTGTCAACCATCAGCATCTCACACTGCAAAACATCTGTTAAGATTAAGGAATCAAGAGCAGTGTGAGTTATCACGTAGCTGGGACCATAACCATATTGACATACTAGATGAAAAAGTATGTATCATTTTGATTCACATCATCAAGTACGTATAAGTGAAGAATTTTTATAAGCCGCATTAAAATAGCTAGAACAAGTTTTCCGCGAAGAAGTATTTAATGTCAAGCCGTTGGAAAGTGTATTTATGACTTATTTGGAACGATTTTGCTTGAAAGTAATTACTCAGAGTTCTGCACGACAGATGTTTCATGTGATCATATACACCACGTTATCTACATCTATAAAAACTAAATAACAATGAAGCAGGATTACAAGTTTGTTTGACTCTGTATATGGTGGGTTTCCTCCTCACTGTATCGATTATTGAGAATGTGAAATACGTGAACCAGATGAAAGGCAAGTAGCTAATGTTTACTCTAATGTTACATTTCAATTTCTTGAAGACAGCACTAATAATAACTGCTCAGTCAAACTGGTGTATTTCCTGAGAAACGACTCTGTTATTTACTAATGCACCTCACACAAAAGCCACCCGCGATATATGCCAAGACACTGATGTATGAATTACGTGGTGTAGTGACGGCATCCTGCCTAAAAGAACCGTTTCGAATGTGCGAATTCAACGTCCATTGAGGCTTCAGTTAGCTGAACGGCGATTTGATTTGATCGTCACTGGGCCTACGAATAGCTGCATGTTTAATGTCAAAATGGAAAGCGCTCAGCCTATCTTAAATTGTGTGATGGATTTGATTGTTGACAGGTCTGACCACAAGCTGACATCAGTTAGAGAAACACTGGAAGTTCAAAGAATACTGGATTGTTGTGTTGTCGGAACTTAGCACCGTCCAGCTGTTGTACAAAACAACCTCAGTTCGAACAGGGAACTTTCCAGCTACAAAGCCAGATGGTAGAATGTCATTTTCTTTGATATGCAACAATTCTAAGGACTTAACGCATCTTTCCTGTTTGTGTATAGTTTCATATAGTGAATCCACAGAAATATATACTTCCTCCAGAAACAATTTAGTCTGTAATTCCATATTAGTTTGTTTACTAGATGTTTCACTGTGTGACACATGTAATTAACAAACTATCATGGAATTACTTACTACCAGAGTGCCAGAGTTTTACGCATATAACAATTAAGTCTGCACAAACTAAATTTCCCTGTCTTTCGTCTCCTTCGTTTCTGTCAATACAGATTTTTAGGAACACTTCTTCAGATGCAGATGCTTCTAATACCTCAGCTGCAGTTTGTATTTCCACTCAATTATATCGTCTTGATAATTGCTGTAAGTGAAGTGTGAATGGCCATTCGTATTTCCAAGTCAATTTATTGAATGATGTTTGGTGTTTGCATATAAACTTGTTTTGTGAGTTCACCGCCTGATTATTATGTAGCATCTCTCAGTGTCAAGGTTGAGTCAAAATGAAGTTGAAACTGTTTAGTGGTAAATATGTCACAACGAAGAATGAACGAAGTCAATTCAATCACACTGTAAAAGATTTCACCCTAAAGAAGCCGGCTGATTGTGATGGATTTTGAGGCCCAGACAAGAACCAATATTTGAATAGCTCATTTTAAACCAGAAACAAATCCAGACGAGCTGGAAATGTTGTTTAGAAATGAGTGGAACAACAAAGGATAGTAACAATTGAACAGAATAAATCGCCATTGCAATGCCCATTCACTTCTCAGCAGGCACACATCACTGAGCTGTGAGATAAGAGGACATACACGTCTTCATGTCCAAGCAGGATGGCCACTCAATGAATGTATAGCAATATACATTGAACTGAGTTCAATGCGTAGGGGCGATGTTGAGATGAATAACAACCACTGTTTATCACACGAAATCTGTCTTCTCTCTGACGTATGAAAACACTTAGTAACTGATGATTGGTTTACCTGAGTGACGTACACACATCCCGCCCATGCATTCCGTGGCTGTATTATTTCTGGTCCAGTGCAGCAGCCTTTGATGAAAGATATTTTGAGGTGGATACGTGTTGGTATTATTTGACGTAGACTTGAAGTCAAAAGTTTGTTTCTTCATGTTGGCCACGACCAAGCACATTATATCATTTTGCAGTGCACATTAAATGTTGAAGAATCCACCGTATCTACGTTCGCTTGATTTTTACTCTCTTTCTCTCTTTAGACAATATTGATGGGGTTCGCAGCAGTTCTACCCTTGATTGGCGAACCCTACTGGTGGATGATTGCCACATGGGGAGCGACCGTGGTTATTTCAGGGATTATTGTAGCTGTCAGTGTGCTTAAAAGATTCAGTATGCTGAGGGCTTTTCGGAAGCTCATATTTTCCACATTCACCATGGAAATAATGTTTTGCATAGGATTCTTCCCAATGATCTATTTACAAAAATATGATGTAAGTAAATAGATAACATGTAAGTTATTCCTACTGAAAATTAACTGTTATTAGCTGAGGTGTCTTCTGATGTTCATTGGAAACTGTTTATTTCGGGAAGTATTCACTCACACAATAATCAATAAACGTGCTGTGGAACACGTTGAATCACTTTAGATACGCTTCACCTAATTAAACTTCCTCAAGAAGACTGACAGATGAGTATTCAAATCGATCAAATCACTGCAGAAATTCCTTTCATGTTAGAATAAACTAAGTTTCATGATGCAGTCATCATATTTTGTACTGATCGTCTCACTCGATTACAGCGGAACGCTTCTTGATTGTGTACATTATTGCCAAATTATTCGGTCGGTAGTTTGTACTTCTATGAAAGCCAAAGTATGTGTGGAGACATACGATTTCCGCACTAGGGGAAGTTGGCAACACTGTAGTGCGTTTCAGCAGTGTACAACTAACTGATATTTCAAGGGCTTAGTTATCATCAAGGTTTGTTCTCTTAGAAAGTGTAATCAATTTCAAATATTAATTGCAGCTGTGAAAAGAACATCGCGAATGGGATCGAGAGATCAGTTTTTTCGAAAAATGTTTTCAGGCGTTAATAATAATAATAATATATATATAGCCACTACAATAAACTCATCTTTTAATGAAATCTTATCAATTATCATTTAGAATAATAATCACAGCATAAAGCATTTTGCAGTTCAAATTAAATCATCGATTTCTTTCATCATTCTCTTGACAGTTGATTATCCTTGTGGGTGGATTCGCCATGTTCTGCACAGTTGTATGGGTAAGCCCAAGTTTCGAGCATTTTTGTAAAGCAGCTGAGTATTTTAATGACTAGAGCGATTTGATGCTGTTTTGGAGAGATGAAATGGTATTGAACGGGGTGATACACAATGGTTGGAAATGAATTTTTGCATTAATCCAACCACCAATTTCTTGATCCATTTTCTGTTATCGAGAGATAAATATATTCCACTTGTTTGACTTACTGTTGTCCAGTCTTGGAGCGAGCTACTATTTCTCTTACACCAGCTCATCTTAGAATGCAGAAATTGCACTTTGCTTTCCTGTCATCCATCGTGTGGATGCATGCATGTATTTTTTCACTTACTGAGTGATGGTATTCACCTTGGAAGTAGAAAGGATCACACACTGTCTCTCGATGTCTATAGATATAAACATTAAGTTATCTCACTGCGTAAATCGTTTTTCATTATACTGAATTGTAATACAGCCATCTCCCTGTCTCAGTATGACTGACGAGGCAACTAAAATATACCAATTTCAATATGTTGACTGACAAAATTAAGCGCTTTGACGTCGAAATCTGGAATAAACTCATGTCTCTGTAGATACTGTGTGTAATTAACTACTTCTTTTTCAGTCGAACTGAATCAAGACTCAATGTAATCTGATTGCATCATAGAGCATTGCTCCATTCATGTTCAGCTGATTATCTCCATCAAGAATACTAATTATCCCCTCTCACATCTAACTTTAGAACTAGTTAGATTTGAGTGAAATCATTGTCATTCATCATCTTTAACCTTCAAAAGTATCATCAATAATGAAAATAAAATGAGTGTATGTGTGTAGAAGTAGAACTATATTTTTTAGACTTAATTAACCGTTCAAATGAAAAGGAGTGTTTAGTGCAGCGATTTGCCACTCAACCTCGAGGTACTTAGTGACAGTCAAGTGTACATATGGGGACAAATTATGCCACAACTAGAAGCACAGTCATCTTCAAATATTCGCTACGTGGGACCACTGCTACCAAAACGTTACAGCTGCATCTTCAATCCCTATGTTCCACGGGGAACATATAATAATTTAATATATATGCATACGTATGAATTGATCTATGTATATGAATATCTGACGAATTGACATCTACTCAACCTTTAGATTTCACCACCTTACTTACTCGTCGACATTCATTATGTCATCAACAACTTTATTCATTGAATGATGTTTTTAAAGTTCGTTTTCCCACACCTAATTTCATATGGATTCATAAAACCTGACAATACGCTGTACATCACCAATCTAACATTAATATTTCAATGACTGTCTTTCATTTTCAGGAGATGGCGTTCATTGTTCAAGCTATCCTCGGTGATAGACGATTCAAATTTCGAAATGATCAACACATACTCTGTGGACTGATAAGTGCCATGTTTATTATCTGGATGCAGTTGATCATTTCAACAGAGACGATCGTCTATTTTGAGTTAGTGGCATCTATCACACAGAGTCCGACACCCGTGGGCTGAATTGATGCATAAATGAAAATAAAAATGACAAATAATCTGACAACTTGAAGTCCTTTCATAATTAGTGGAATTTCATTATTTTCCAAAAAAACCTAATAAAGGTCATAATTCATATATGATTCTGACTTACTTAAAACCAACATGAAGTAGGTGTCAAACATTAGAAGAAACTCTGTGGCCTTCATTTTGATATTGCATGGTTGAAGGTATTCGACACTGAGCCCTAAACCCATGTATAAGTAGCCCCGTTACGATTCAGTAGACACTACAGACTGCACAGAAGTAACTAAACACTATTTGTTAGTCGGATGATAACTTGTTACCATCAGGAATCCAGTAATAATTTGCCATAGTTATTCATGTAATATGTTTACAGGCGGCCTAGGGTATTAAAGAATTATCGCAGATTCGAAATAAAGATGTTATGTGTCTAAGTCGATGTAAAGTTTCCATATGGACTTTGATTTCTTAGCACTTTCATTCCACATTCTATTTCAGCCACCTCCGTTGAGGTATTTCATCATTATGATTCAGAAATCCGCGTCACATCAACAGTGATCGCAGCATCATGAGTATCAAAAAAGGTATGTCGTATACTTTCATATGGATGAAACATTGTTGTACAAACTTCAACATTTCCAGAACATAAAGGGGTGAATAATATTTTACTTGAATAACACATGTAGTAACCAGAGTAATTTCAAATGCAACCAACTTGTGGTGTGACTAATGACAAACGAAAGATAACTCAAAGTGAAATGAAAGTCCTGACTGAAATATTTATGTGCGGTCTTGAAAATAGAAGGGCTTATCAGACTTGGAATTGCTCAAACCCGAGTACATTTAAGTAAAATACCAATTTCGTACCTAAAAATGCCATTATCAAAGGTTTATGACGTTTACCAGAACTAAGGTTAGTCAGTTCAGCAGGTGAACAAGCTAGTATTGTAACAGCAAAAGACAAAAATCTATTTTTAAATAATCAAACCGCTGTATATATATATAGTTCAAATTCGTTCATGATTCACTGAGCTTTGTGATTTTGTTATACATCAAACGACGTGAAAACAAAATGGCTGCACTTTACTCAGTAGTGCAGGTCACAAGGTCGAGCCTCAATTGATGCGTACTGTCGAAGAGTCCCAAACTAGTGCAGAACAGCTTTCCCGTCCACCAAAGTTTCCTAATCTTTCTCTAACTGATCTCACCTCATCATGAAATCCTCAAACCAATCAAATCCCTGCGAACCGACACTCGAGTATCAATTAGTCCACAGTTGTCACTGTTGAAAGCTACCGTAAGCTGTACTAGATGATGCTGTGAAATGCTGCAATTCTGTCGGCGCTTGATTCTGTTTTCTAATGAATCCATTCAAATCTGAGTGGATTTTAACATCAGTAACAACTCTTAATCCTTACAGGATGATGTCGTCTGGCATTTTAGTTGTTGTGGACATTAGTTTGTCAATTCATCCTGCATAGGCTTCAGACACAGTCTGACAGGCTGATACGTCTTTCTATCGACAGGTAAATTCACACACACACATACACTTTGTACAAAAGTGAGGTTGGCATTTATGCAGAGGTCCGCGATTCCAGTTCAGTTTTTTCAGATTGATTTCATCTGGTCTTCTTGCTACCCTCCGTTTCAGGAGCCTAGCGGCTTACGATACGTCGACACTCGTCAGACATTCAGTGTTCAGTGGTAGTGGTAGTGGTTAATTGGTAGTGCCAAATAATCGCATTCTTCTGTACACATGGTATATTCAAGACAGCAACTGAAATAAACAGACTTTTATTCCCTATAATCAACTATTTTGGTCAGGGTGCCAGTTCTTATTCTGGTTTTCTCAATTAGGCTACTGTTATTATCATTCCCTTTCATAATGAGTGACAGAGTTCTAGAATGCTCATCAACTACGTGTATGTTCCGGAGTTCGATTCCTGGTTCATGCACTCTTTTACCTGTCTAAGCCAGTAATAAAACCGGTAAACATGGAAGGTTGGAAGTAAGGCTGGCAACCCTATTCCGTAAACGTAAACACCACTGTTACCGAGATTTCACAGCTGAAGCTTGAAGTTCTGTGTTCCACTGAGAACTGAAAAGAAATTAAAAATATGTCCCGAGTGGAACATATGTATTCACCGAGACATCCCCATTTTGTCCCGTTCTCAGCAGTTCTCTTTTGCTGGCTCTACCATTGTCCACCAACTTCCATCTCATACTGATACGATCTCCTCCATATCATCGCCAAGTCCACTGTATTCAGGTATCACTAACACAGATATATCACTTGAAACAGAACTGACTCCCGTTTGTCACACAGTGTGAAAATCAGGAGAAAACTGAAAGTCAGGACAAGGATATTTTATTCATTCCGTAATTAACAAAGAGTGAGAAAGAAGTTCAGTTAAATGGAAATGACACAAATGATAATCAAGTCTGACATTCTTGATTTCATTGTTGAACTAATGAGAACACATAAAATATGATAGCTGGATAGGGAGCATCTATTAGGATTCTTCACAATCTATGCGTCCGTACCACTCAAGAATACAAGCACAACATCGAATCTGGTCGAATCGAATGAAATAGGATGATTTGAAAATAAGACGTAAATTTATCTTAGTGCAACAATCGTTCAAAATATCAAATGAACAATGAGTGTTTGTCAGTCTAAACAACAGAAACTGATGTGAATAAAAAATTAGTGGATCTTATATGTGGTCTTGGATTCTTCGGTTCATTTGAAGATGATTCTCCGGATTCCTACTTCATCCTCACTTGATCTTTGTGCTCTTTCTATATTCAAACGAATTGCCGACACTCAAACTGAACATAATATTAAAATAAAATCAAAGCGTTAAGAAGATGGACAAAAGTCATTTCGTTGTTACATGTGCTTAGTAAATGTGGTATTCAAATGAATGACAGTTACTGTAAACACAAGTTACTAGAAACATTTTTAATAATAGTAGTTTATTCTGAACAATATGTCCATACAGAATACAAAATTTTTAGAGTATTTTTACTTACTACTTATACAGAATTTTCAAGCAGACTCACGTTCTGTTGTGTATCCTTTGAAACATTTGCAAAACGCGACAAGTGTAAGAGATTAACTATGGTTCATATCTAATAATAGCGCTTTACATAAAATATTTTAGACAACCATTTTACTTCAAGATGCATAAGGGTGAGAAAACATTTTTACAATAAGCTACGCTTCGAATTCTGCATATTGTGTAGACACTTTGTTTAAATAAAACAAAG